AATGCTTTCAGCACCTTGTTGAATCAATGCCACGTAGAATTAAGGCAGTTCTGAAGGCGAAAGGGGGTCAAACACCGTATTAGTATGCTGTTCCTAATAATCCTTTAGGTGAGTGTAGATCTACACCTGTTTTCATTTTGAGACAAAGCACACCAAAACTGAAGCAGCAGCAGCAAATGTTTGCAAAGAAAAATGGGCAGCTGCAGAAGACACCTGATCTATAAATCAAAACTTATTGATTTGAATTGAAGATCAAATGCCTTCTGCAGACACCCATTCTGAACACACTAAATAAATCCTAAAAGTATTTGATGGATCTTTTTCAAACTTCCCAGGAACATTGTGTAGGTGATGATTTGGGAACCATTTCATTTTGAAACAACCTGCACCAAAAGTGAAGCTTAATGACAGCAAAGGGAAGAGCAACTGCTGGGGAGAGTGTGTTGGGGGTTAGAGATACAGGTTGATAGGTGGGGGAGGGCATCTGGTAAATTCATTGTTGTTGTTCTGACAGCATCTGCATGACCTGCTAAACAAATAATCAAAGCTGACATACAAAATAATAGCAATGTTTGTGTCAAGAAAAATTTTGCATGCCTGCAGCACCCAAACACAGTCGTCTATGATAAATCTCCATTTATTGTGTCTCAGTACTAGAGATTCTTCAAATGGAAAGACAATCACTAAAAAGGCCCAAACTGGTTCTTTGGGCAGGAGGAGATGCCAACAACCTAAACCCAATCTAAGCAGAGTCTCCAGGGGTCTATCTGTCATTTCAGCCAAGAGCAATGAAGGAATGAAGGAAGGTAGGAGATATGAAATCACCAATGATTGAAATTGTAAAGCAGGAAATATTTAACATTTATCAAAGATTAAAGTTTTATTTTTTATTTTACTTTTGAAATCCGTTTTAGTGACGGATGCCACTGAAGAACATCTTCATGATGTGAATGCTCCGAGATCTGTAGAGAACAGGTAGATACTCTAATTTGCTTATTGATTTAAATGCTAATTGAAGACAGGGGTGGTTGATATGGCAAAAATATCATACATGATTTATTTTAGGCAGGATCATGATCCACAATCTTATCACAATTCTTTTTAATGTTGGTTTTTAAGATTATTGTGCCCATTGCGGAACTGTACAACCAATGAACTATTTCCCCTATGTTAAAATATATATCCTATAAGGTAAGAAGACCTAAAAGAATAACATACTCTGCATTCTCTTTCAGGTGTTTTCATGTGAAGAGATTAGAAAGTTCGGTGTGTTGCTATCTGACATTTGAAGCTTACCTCTTACAGATAATGCAAGTAACTATTGTTTGTGCAGTGTCAGTTTTAGAAAATCCGAACAAGTTCCATATTATCGATGTTGCATTCCTTTTAGGGACCAACTCCTCCATGTTGCTAAGTTGCCAAATTGGGACTGTATTTCCATTAATGGCTCATTGTTAAACAAATTCTAAACAATATATATTTTGTCTTTTCCACTTTTTTCACAAAAGCGAGGATGCCTTTTGGATTTCTTTTGGTTAGTGAAAACAGGTGCTAATGTAGGTCTTTCGTAAAAGTGAAGTGGCATTGCGTGAACGTTTGTAAAGTGGGGAATACGTGTATTGTCAAATTGCACACCTCCAAGTGAAACAGAAAAAAGTGTTGCACATATGTGGTTTCTATCATTCATTTGATTAAGATTAACTTTATTGATCCCAGGGGGAATAGAATTATGTTTGCTAATCCATGCTGGGATAATTGGCCGTTAGTAGTGTTCTCTCTCTTTTCTTAATGAATCTAAGTAACTTGTGTATGTATGCTGGATGGTTGCCTTACTAGGTCTGGCTGTTTAAGTCATGAAGATCCATGGAAAACCTAAAATATGGAAATCCATGGATAACTCTTTTTAACACATTAATGTCACGGACTTGAGGGTTTCTGTCACAAGGGCGGGGTATCGTGCAGGCGGGGAAAGGTGATGGATGATTCACTTGCGGCTCACAGGATGAACGGAGTTTATTAACAGAAACTGAAAATTGATCCCAGGGGGAATTGAATTATGCTTGCTAATCCATGCTGGGGCAATTGGCTGTTAGTAGTGTTCTCTCTCTTTTTTAAATGAATCTAAGTAACTTGTATATGTGTGCTGGTTGGTTGCCTAAGCTCCTCAATCCAATACAGACCCAGAGAAGCATGTACTCTGACCAGCATTACTGCTGAAAAGAGTTGTCAGGTAAATGAATATGGTGGTAATAACTTATGTTGATGATAATTGGTAATATTTTTTTGACCATGTATTCCCTACTGTTTTTTTTTTTTTTATCAGTTACTAGCTTTGTGTTAAAAGTACATAGTTTGCCTGATTTACATATAGCCAGTATGTGGTAAAGTGGGTGCAGTGCATGATGAAAGTGTCATTAAATGTGTTAAGAATGTCCCTCTAGAATGTACCCTGAAGGAGCAACATCTGTTCTTATTTACTGGGTCAGTTGCTGTCCTTTAACATTTTTATTGAATATGGAAATCTATGAATAAAGGCCTTTCTTCACCAAATCTTTTTTTTTTTTTGCATGAAGACTTAACGACGACATTCTGAAATGAAGATGCGTGTTGCTATGAAGCAGGGATGAAAGTGTGCCAAAATGAAAAAAAGCTGAAAACCAGCACTGAAATTTATTCTCTTACCTGGGGGTGCTGTTAAAAGGGCTTCATTCTTAATTTATATTAGAGCTGTTTGTCATTTAAACCACTAATGTTTCTTCAGTTAAAAAGTTCAGAAAAAAGTAGTGCTTTTCATCCTTAATGAAGGCTTTCATTCCAAGTCTGACAAAACCACATTCTTTTTTTCCCTTAGAATGCTTGGTTTCTGCAGTATTCAAAAGCATTAAAGACAAATGACTAATTGGATCAGTTTTTCACGCAATCTTTTTTTTTTTTTTAATAGGAGGAAAACCTTTATTTTGGTTTACAACACTAGCCTGTATTGTTAGGTGATTCCGCTGATTTTCTTTTTGATGCCATTTCAACAAGATCTAAGGTTGGTATTGCAGATACTGATATTTGGTACTGGCCCAACCCACCCAGACAGTAAATAAAAAATGTTGAGATGGGGTGTGGCTGGCGGATCGATCCTCCCATTTTCCTGTAACAATTACAAAACGGATGGCAGTTTTTATGCTAAGAAATAGCTTGTGTGTTTAAGTTGCACACAAAAACGGTCATCTATGATATATATCCATTTATTGTTTCTCAGTACTACAGATTCTTCAGATGGGAAGATAAGTCCTAAAAAGGCCCAAAGTGCTCCTTTGGGCAGGAGAAGATGCCAACAGCCCAATCTAAGCATGGTCTCCAGGGGTCTATCTGTTATTTCAGTCCAGAGGAATGAGGAAATGAAGGAAGGTAGGAGTTATGGAAAGATTGAAATTGTAGACATAGTTAACATCTGTCAATGATTGATGTTTTCTGTCACTTTTCGCATCCATTTTAGTGAAGGATTCAATTGAAGAACATCATGAGGATTCGAAAGCTCTCAGATCTGTAGAGAACAGGTATTGTAGGTAGTCTTACTTGATGAATGAATTAGTGTGTGAAATGTTTTATTCTTATTTTCTAATTCTTATCGTGGACTTCCTATCCTGTACATGGATCCTGTACATATATGTATGTAAAATGGCTATGTTTCATTTCCTAGTACAGTGGTACCTCAGAACTCTAATTTAATCCATTCAGAACTCCAGATCGAATCCTAAAAAGTTCGAGTTGTGATCGAATTTTCCCCATAAGAAATAATGGAAACCAATTAATTGGTTCCCGGCCCCAAAAAATTACACCTAAATATGTTTTTTTTTTTAGCATTTAAACACAAAATGAACCAGATAAAACAAGAAGAGCATATACTCTTATAAATAAATGTATCCAAACAATGTGTAAAGTTAAAAAAAAAAACAATGTGTCCTGCCCCGATCGTCTGTTCCTTCCATGTGCCACGCCCCCTCGTTAACCCCGTGTGGAATCCCTGTGTGATCAGCTGTTTCTGGTTGTTGTCATTAGTCCTCTGTATTTAGTCCGCGTTTCAGTTTGTTTCTCCAGTCTGGTCATTATATTGTCCGTCTGCGTTTTGCCTGCCTTACCTGTAATTAAACCCCGTATTCCCAGATACCCTGATGTCTGCGCCTTTGTCTCCGTTCCGTCCCCACTCGGCACGACAATATTATTATAATTAAATGTTTATTATTAATATTAAAATAATGAATAAGAAATCTTTATTTTTAAATGTTTCTTATTATATAATAATAATTACCGTTACTATCTATCATTGTCTATCATTGTCTAAATTTATTTTTACTGTCTAAATATGTATATTCAGCTAGTGTAAACATGGACGATGCTATCACAGCGCATGCGAGGCTTAGACTGAAGCGTTACCCTTTGTTTCAGCTGAGACTCGAGCCGCGTGACTCATTTCCCCGCGTGTACAAGTTATCTTAGGTCGGCGTTCACAGTTTGACTTCTGAGATTCAGATCAAGTTCTAGGTATTTTTTTTTCGAACTGACTGGTTCGACTTTTAAGAAATTCGAGTTCTAATGAGTTCGAGAACTGAGGTACCACTGTAATTTTCTTCCATTACAACCCACATAATTTATATTGGTGAAGTACTTGAAAATGTCAGCAGGGCATATCACCCGTTGAGAAGTCCCTCCATCAGAGAAAAAATCCCTGAAGCTGTAATGGAGAAGGACATGCAACCAGTGCAAGCAATATCTAGCACTGTAACAGCAGAGGTAACACTGAAGATAATATTCAGGCACCCTTCTTAGTGTGGGGATTGAAACGTGTTTTTTTCTGTGCCACTTGGGTTTTATTTAAGTACAATTTTTAGTCATTGTAAGTCTTTCCTTTGAATGAACATCCTAAGGAAAACTGGCAGTGACATCAATGAAACTGCCATTGTTATGTGAAGATGAGTTACATTGTGTTAACACGGGGAATTATGTCCTTAGAATGCCCTCTACAAATTCAGTACCAAACTGATTTTATGTTTAATTTCTTAGGTTGTCACAGATCTCCCTCCCAAAGGGGACTCTTGTGGCGTTTTTACCACAGTGGCAATGGTTACAGAAGGTACATTTTATAATTATTTGTATTTTGTCACTAAACAATTGATTTGCTACTGACAGATCTGAGTAACGTCTGGTGGTATAAATGGTTGTATTTTCCATGCATTGCCTGTGTGCCTGAAGCATTGCTGCCTTATATGCAGCTGTGAGTACAGATGTTACTGAGCAGGAGCCCATATTTATCCTTACACTGGTCCCAGTGAGTGAGGTACCTCTACCTCCAGAAAGTACTGAACAACAGTCTGAACTGCTGCTCCCTGCATCACAGAGGTGAGTCCCCTTTGTATAAATACAAAGATTTTCAAATGATAATACAGTTACATTTTGTAGTTTTATACACTGTAAACAACTATTTTGGGGAATGGTTTTATTATTTGTTGGTTCCACATTTCACCAAACTCCCCATAGTTTAAGCTCAGTTCAGGAATCTGAAGCAGATATTGAATCGGGAAATTTTGTGGGGCTCCTGCTTAATTATGTTACCCCCATTGAAAGGTACTCAACGCTGGAAAGGGATTTTGTCTCTGATCAGGTCCTTAACACTTCCAGCTCATCTATTACAGTAAGTACCTTGTATAGCAAAGTTAAGGCTCCTTAACGTCAGTGGGTTAGTATTGCTGATGGTTTTCTCAATTTTTATTCAGCAGAAGGACACTAAGGATCCCGAAGACCACTTTGGTAAGAGATTGTGTGTTGGTGTTACATTCAGTTGAATGAAATAACAATTAAAATGCACATTTTTATCACTTGTTTGTGGTAAAAGATGAAGGTTTTAGGAAAAAATAGGCTGACTGAAAGATTACATTTAACATTTAGCAATGCAACGTACTGGTGAGGCAAATAGCACATTACAAACAGATGTACTGTCTAGGAGTCAACTAGGCATAAGTGCAGCTAGGCTGAGCTTCCAGTGAACGCCCAGGTACAAGTGTAAGAAGCAGAAGGTACACAACAACTTTCCGGGAATGTAAAGAGGCATCAGGCTAGTGGAAGAATACATATTAATATACATATTAGGACTGTCACTATCATTTAGGCCTGCCACTAAAATTTTTCTATGGATTAATCTATCAGCTATTTTATTGATTGGTCGATTAATCTAAATTATTAATTTTCTTACTGCAGTGACAGTGCTTCCCATTATGACAGTGTGCTGCCCTCAGTACTAGACCTGCACAATGTGCAATGTGGCACTTTATGGACGTTCAGTTACTGTATCACATCACAAGGACTGGGATAGTCTGCTTAATAAGTTGCGCTAAAACAATTTGGTCAGTTTCAGGAAACATTTAGAAAGGTCTGCAAAATTAATGATGGTTCCTCTTTTCAACATTATCTAGTAATTGGAAAAAACAATCTATCTAAAGTTTACCGCTTTTGCATAAGCTTTGCATATGTTCTATGAGAATCATAATCATTCTTCTCCTTGCTGCTTGATTCAGTCATAGACCATGCAGAGCATTCGTGAGAAATTATAAATGAGCAAAGAGAAGAAAAGCGAGCAAGAACTGGTCACGTAGACATTTGTCTTCTGCTTATGGAAATATTTTGTATTCCACCTAGACGATATTGAGCATAAGCAAGATATTTGTCGGCACAGTTTTGTATCTGTTGGCCAGCTTATTTGACAGACTTTGTTGATAAATTCTATTTGGCTATATAGTTTATTTTTTGCGCCATCTTACTTCAGACATATTGCAGAGTAATTGAGAAGGAAAATGCTTTTTAATAATCAAGTAATTTTGACAGCTCTAATACATGTAAGCCTGTAATTTTAGCTCTATATGAAACTTTGGAAGTGTTTTAATACTGTATATTAGTAGATCCAAATTTTGGATAATAGGTCATTTTGTATCCTGTACAAGCTGCAAAGTCCTTTTGTAATTATTTTTCTTATTTTTTGGTGATGGAGACAACATGTGGGTAGTCTAACTTTTCTGCCAGAAGCTAAGCTGCATGTCCCCTTAGACACATATTTAGAAGGTGCTGCAAGCAAAGAGGCACCATCAATCAAATGCAAGAAGAGCTTTGCCGCAACAAACGAGAGAGGTGGTGAGTTCCCAGTGCTGTTTCTGCTAGCATTCCAAAAATAGTGTCATATTTATTCTGTCATATTGATGCACTTTGCTTCAATACAGTTTTATTATTCTTTTTGTTATACTTCATTGACTCTCTTATTGTGGTCCACCACTCTGACAATTGTGTTATAGTTCTTAAGTAAGTTTAACACCAGTTTTGTGGGATTTTCCCCCCCTTTCTTCTCGTTAGCAAAACAGAACTCAAAAAGAAATCTGCCTGAGGCTACAAAGAAGGACCAAGCCACCCTTAGAGAGGAGCCAGAGCGGCTGGATATACTGCCATCCTCACCCAAAACCGTCCAGCCTATGAGTGTCAAGAGTACCACAGAAGAATCAGTCACAGACGCCGCTGAGGTTGAGATGTCACAGGACACCGTATACCTGTTGGATCTCTCAATAAAGAATAAACATAAAGAAACTGCAGAAGACCAGTCTAGTCCAACTTTCAGAAGTGAAGAGGAAGTACTTAAGTCAACTCCCCTGATCGCACCATTGTTTTTGAAGGACTTAAAGTTGCAGTATGTATTTTCCCTTGCATCATGCCACTGCACTGTCGCTGTAGTGTTTTTATTGCTGTATTGTTTGTACTCGTTTTTTTGTATTGTGTTTGCCATTACATTGTCTTTTGTTGTATTGTTGTTGTCACAGTCATGCGCCGCTTAACAACAGGGTTACGTTCTGAGAAATACCTTGTTAGGTAGATTTTATCATTGTGCACATATAATAAAGTGTGCTTATAGATGGTACAGTATAGTCTACTACTCTCCTAGACTATATGGTATAGCCTAAATAATGATAAAGAAAATACAGTATAGTAAATATATAAACAGTGACATAGTTGTTTATCATGAAGTCTTATGTACTGAGGTACATAATTGTATGTTCTGTACATTTATATGACCATTCCCACCATCATCATCATGAACATGTGAGTAATGCGTTGCTGCATTATAATCTTATGGGACCACTGTCGTATATATGGTCTGCTGTTGACCGAAACGTCGTTATACAACACCTAACTGTATTGCATGTCTTTTGTTGCACCTTCCCTCCAATACGTAGTTATAGGAGAAACAAAAATGTCATAATACACAAAGACAATAACTCTTGAAACTTTCAGACGGATGAAGTATGGGCCTGTTGTAAATTGCTGTATGAAAAAATAACTTTAATGCTAATTTATTTTGATACTTATATTTTCATTTTTCTTTTCTTAATTTCTATCCTTTGTCCCAAAGGAAAAATGATGACGACACCAAAACAGAGAGAAAAATGTCTTTAGATCCCTCTATTGCCAGTCATTCGTCTGCCTCTGATATCAACGCTACATATTCTCCTAGTAGTCCCACTAAGGTAAAATTTTATACCTATTGTTAGAGATCAGTTGGTTTCATGTCAGCACATCTGATGTTTTCATGACTGTTTCTTCGATAGGTATATTCCAATATTTCACAACCTGCTCAATGTGAATTCCTCTGCACCAGTGTGAAAGAGATCGATGAAGAGCCCACAAATGTCTCTGAATACTTCTTCAGTGACATCTTTAAAGAGGTGAAGGAGTCTGAGTCTGACTGAAGCCTCATTAGGAAATGCTCTGTCTATTTACTAAACCCTGTCAAGAAGTCTGCTACTCCACATGACCTCACGGAGGAGTGTGGTTTTGCTCCCACATTCTTTAAATTGTTATTTTTTATGTCAATGCCTTGTTTTGTACTGGTTTCTATTAAGTGGGTACTCTAAAGTTATTTTTGTTTTCTACTGAAAGGTTAGGTATGTACTACTGGAGGATTTGGTAGCATATGAAAAGACTTCAGGTGGAGATTTTGAATGTAATGGCAATAAATGGAAAAATGAATGCGTTAAATGTGGTTCTCCTTTACATTAGCTATTAGAATTAACACACTACACTTAAATTTGCTTAGCCTCTAACACACATTTTATCAGTCTATTTGTGTTCTCTAAAACTGTCTTTACAAATACAGATGCTCCTCTACTTACGAATGAGATACGTTCTGAATGGCTGTTCGTAACTTGAAATGTTCGTAAGTTGTTATTCAACATCATTTTAAGGGTATACGCAAGTATAGTGGTACCTCGGTTCTCAAACTTAATTCGTTCCGGACTCCGGATCGAATCCTAAAAAGTTCGAGTTGTGATCGAATTTTTCCCATAAGAAATAATGGAAAAATAATTAATTGGTTCCCGGCCCCCCAAAATTACACCTAAATATGTTTTTTTTTTTTTTGCATTTGAACACAAAATAAAATGGATAAAACAAGAGCATTTTTTTTTTAATGGCTTCCAAAACGATA